CTCCTGCGCGAAGCGCGGAAGCTTTGACGTTTCATTAAAATATTAAAGAAAGAAGACGATTCGTTGTACCGTTCTCGACTCTTAATCCTCGTCTGAATTCAGGTCCCCCCTCTCGCGGCAGCTTTGACGTTTCATTAAATCATTAGAGAAACAAGACGATTTGTTGTACAGTTCTCGACTCTTAATCCTCGTCTGAATTCAGTTTTCCCCCTTCCGCGCGAAGCGTGGAAGCTTTTACGATTCATTGAATCATTCGAGAAAAAAGACGATTCGTTGTACAGTTCTCGACTCTTAATCCTCGTCTGAATTCAGTTTTCCCCCTTCCGCGCGAAGCGTGGAAGCTTTTACGAATCCTTAAATCATTAGAGAAAGAAGACGATTCGTTGTACCGTTCTCGACTCTTAATCCTTGTCTAAATTCAGTCTCCCCCCTCCCCCTCCTGCGCGAAGCGCGGAAGCTTTGACGTTTCATTAAAATATTAAAGAAAGAAGACGATTCGTTGTACCGTTCTCGACTCTTAATCCTCGTCTGAATTCAGGTCCCCCCTCTCGCGGCAGCTTTGACGTTTTATTAAATCATTAGAGAAACAAGACGATTTGTTGTACAGTTCTCGACTCTTAATCCTCGTCTGAATTCAGTTTTCCCCCTTCCGCGCGAAGCGTGGAAGCTTTTACGATTCATTAAATCATTCGAGAAAAAAGACGATTCGTTGTACAGTTCTCGACTCTTAATCCTCGTCTGAATTCAGTTTTCCCCCTTCCGCGCGAAGCGTGGAAGCTTTTACGAATCCTTAAATCATTAGAGAAAGAAGACGATTCGTTGTACCGTTCTCGACTCTTAATCCTTGTCTAAATTCAGTCTCCCCCCCCCCCTCCCCCTCCTGCGCGAAGCGCGGAAGCTTTGACGTTCCATTAAAATATTAAAGAAAGAAGACGATTCGTTGTACCGTTCTCGACTCTTAATCCTTGTCTGAATTCAGGTCCCCCCCCCCCCCCCGTCCCGCGGAAGCTTTTAATTTTTATTAAATCAGTAGAGAAAGAAGACGATTCGTTGTACCGTTCTCGAAAATAATCCGCGTCGGAATTTAGTTCCCCCTCTATCCCGCGCAAAGCGCGGAAGCTTTTATGTTTCATTTAATCATTAAAGATTCGTATTATAGTTCTCGCCTCTGAATCCCCGTTTGAATTCAGGTTTCCCCCCCCCCCCCTCCCGCGCGCAAAGCGCGGAAGCTTTGACGTTTCATAAGCTTAAGAGAGAAAGAAGACGATTTGCTGTACCGTTCTTGATTCTTAATCCTCGTCTGAATTTCAAAGATATCCTTTGTCTGCTCCTTTTTCTTCCTACGCCCCCCCCCCCCCCTGGCTACGTGCCTGCGGTCCGATAAACACATTTTGATACCTTGTCCGACCCCGCAAGGTTTAAGGCAATAAATTACGGTCAGATGAGCATTCAGGGGCCCGCCTTAGGGCCCCTGGTGGGGTCGAGACGGCGGAGCCGGCCCCGGAAGCTCAGGGGTTTTTAGGCGTTTAACTAAGATCAGATGAGCATTTTTTTTTGTATACCTTATTATTTTGTGACACTGGCAGGACACTATTGGTGTGGGGTACAGGGGGCAGAGCCCCCCAAAATCAGGGTTTTAGGCATTAAATTACCGTCAGATAAGCATCTATGGGCCCGCCGTAGGGCCCTATAGGTGAAGTCCATGGGGGCAGAGCCCCGGAAGCCTAGGGGTTTTAGGCATTTAATCCCGGTCAGATGAGCATATTTTGATGCCTCATTATTTTTTAACACTGGCAGTTAACTATTCTCTCTTTCTTGCTCTCATTCTATTTTATTTCTCTTTAATATACTTTTTCAAAAAAAGTGTAGGGGGGGGGGGGGAGGGAGCTCGAGGCTCCCGATCCCTGCCGTACCTCGGGCCCTGACATGTATGAATCTCAAGAATCATTTTTCATGCCTTGCTGTAAATTTAGGAATTTGTCATTTTCCAACAAACACATACAAACGTATAATTCACTAAAAAGTGAGGAAAAATCTCGGAAATTAAGTAATTTCAGCATTATTTGTAATCCACCGTTGTGGAATTAGAAATAAACCACGTTTGAATTTGATTTCCCCCAAGCCCCCCCCCCCCCTATCCGTACGCCAGTATCTCCTCTTTTCCTTTTTTCTTTCCCTTTCCTTCCTTCTCTCTTATTTTTTTGATTGGAGGGGGGGGGGGGTCAACAGCATGGGAGGCAAGGCTCTTTCGGCCCCCCCCCCCCTCCCCCCGATCTCCTTCTTTCCCCCTTTTCTTTTTTCTTCCTCTTTTTTCTTTCCCTTTCTCTCCTCTTTCCCTTCCCCTTCTTTTCCTTTCTTCTTCTCTCTCTTTTTTTTTTTTTTTTTTTTTTTTTGCGGGGGGGGGGGGGCCAAGGCCCGCTCGCCCCCCCCCTGGATCCGCGCCTGGTGGGGGGGTTAACCCCCCCCCCCCCACGCTTATTCACCGGCTGGCTGAGTCGTTGCAAACAATTTCCTCAAAAACTGGACCAAAATAATTTTTAAAAAAGGTGCTCTTACCCCCACCCCCCCCCCCCTCCCCCCGCTTATTCAGCGGCTGGCTGAGTCGTTGCGAAATTTTCGGCGCGATTTTCGAATTTAACCCCCCCCCCCCCCCTCGAAAAAATGAAAAAATCCTGCGTACGCTACTTTGTTTGTATAAGTTGTAACATGGAGCATGGAGTTACTAACTCCATGGTTGTAAGAACGTTTTTAAGAGAAAAAGAGCTTTGAACAGTGGAATATCCCCGTCGATCGACGCCTCCAACCTTCAGAACAGTTGTCAGCAGGTCAACGTGAATACGTCGGTGTTCTTGCATGAGTGTCGGTCTCACTACCCTTCAGACAACTTTCAGAATGCGCGTCAGTGCGACCAGGCGCGTACGCAGGATTTTTTCAAGGGGGGGGGGGGGGGGGGGGGGGTTTAACATTTTAAATCGGGCCGAAAATTTCGCAACGACTCAGTCAGCCGCTGAATAAGCGGGGGGGGGGGGGGGAGGTAAGAGGACATTTTTGGGTTTTTTTTTTTGGTCCCCAAAAAATCGCAACGACTCAGCCAGCCCTTTGAATAACCGGGGGGGGGGGGGAGTTAAGATGACACTTTTTTTTTTGGGGGGGGGGGGGTCCCCAAAAAATCGCAACGACTCAGCCAGCCGCTAAATAAGCGGGGGGGGGGGGGGTAAGAGGACACTTTTTTTGTTTTTTTGGTTTCGAAATTTGAAAATTTGACATTTTGCTCCGTTGGGGGGGGGGGGGTGAGGTAAACTTTTTTAGGTCAGCCATTGTTATAAAAAAAAAAATAATAATTATTATAAAAAAAAAATTTAAAAAAAAACCCAGAGGGGGGGGGTTAACCCCCTAAACCCCCCCCCCCCCCCCCCCCTGCGTACGCGCCTGAGTGCGACTATTTTCAGTATGGTGGCTTGTCAGTCTCGTAGAGCCAGGCGCATACGCAGCGCGGGGGGGGGGGGGTTGTACCCCCCCCCCCCGCCTCAATTGTTGTTTTATGTGTGTGATTTTTGATGACCCCTTCCCCCCTCAATTCTAACAAAAATAAATTAAAAAAATATATATATATATTTTTGTGTGCCAAAGGGTGACCCAAAAAAAGTGACCCTGAGTCGTTGCGAAATTTTTGGGACCAAAAAAAAATGTGCTCCTAATCATTACAAGCCAGAGCAAATAACACTGAGTTCCTATAGGAAATATATTTATTCAGATGGTCATATCTCAGCCAATATTCAATTGGTTTTCGACATTTGGACATTATTTTTGATGCTCTTTCGGAAAATGAAGACATTTTTTTTTTTTTTGATGACGTCACACTTCACCACTCTATGTGCCTACTATGTATATTATGTGCCGAAATACGAACGATTGTTCTTGTTGCTATATAATCAAACAGAAATGATACGTGACGAAGCACATTTTATCGCCCAATACACTGTTTATCCCTCGCTATCCTCTTCAGAAATGATTATATTTCAAGTTAAACGTTATTTTGATGTATTTGTTTTATTGTTGATTATAGTATTGTCTGTATTTATTTTCAGTGTGAGTGACATCTAATCGAATAAAAGGTTAATCTTACACTCGTGCAAAACGTCTTTTATTATTCAAGAACCAATATCGTCCGTCTCCCCCCCCCCCCCCCCTGTCTCTGTCTGTCACCCTCTCTCTTTTTCTCTCTCTTAAATAGTGCCGCTCTAATGGGTCACTTTTTCACACAAATTCCCTATACATGGGTCCCATTTTTAACCAAAATATCCCTAAACATGGTCCGTTTTTTTTTCAAAATTTCCAAAATGTTCGGATGTTGTCAAATGTTAAAAATGGGCCTTACTTCGAGAAAAATCCCCCAAAATGATCCTTAAATATGGTTAGGGGTTTCGAGGCTTGAGCGGCACACCCCTGTCCGAACCAAATCTGGGTACCACCACCCCCCCCCCCCCCCCCCCCCCCCCGGGCACACACAGGCCAGACAAGGCTCCAGTTGTTTGTAGACAAAATTAAAATGTGCATATCTGAATTATACTTCGTCATGCTGGCATGGCTTGAAAGACGGGAGAAAGGGGGAGAATGCATGGGGGAGAAGGTGGGAAAGGAGGAGGGGGAAAGAGGAGAAGGAGGAGGGAGGAGGGGAAGGAGGATCGAGGGGGAGGAGGGATGTTCTGAAGAAGCGCACGCGTTCGTACGTGGTGTCGTTTGTGGAGTTAAGTATAGTCTGCAGGCACATACTCTATTCGACATGTCAACATAAATCCATAAAGCGGTGAGCAGCTTGCCAAACTCTGTCAGTCTCTGGCTGTCAAAAAAAGCTATATAGAGTATATGGATTGCAGTGTTTACCGTGTGATCAAGTATTAACATAATCTTACAGCTCAGCCACTCTCTTAATCGTTGAGATTGGAAAGGGGTCTGTTTTTGCAAACTAAGTGCAGGGTATCCTGAGTGTGTATTTCGCGTGTTCGCGATCGATGTTCCATCTGTGACGCACTGCATGCACTGCACACTCAGTTTGAAGTGCTAATTCAGAATTCTGCCACGACGAGAGTGCTTGCGATTTCTGATCACTGCAAAAATGGTAATATTAGTTTCTCTCAGTTCTTGCTATTTTGTACCACTGTTAAACTTGTCATTAACATGTCTTTGTTTCTCTTTTATTTATTTTCCAGACAACCTACACAGACAAAGGACCGAAGGTAAGAAACGTGAATTCTTGTTACCCATTCCGCGATGGCGACGTTGATTGTTGTAGACCTAGCTGTACTTGTAGTTTGTGCAGTATATCATGCACGTTGATCGTTATGATCATGTGCCGGTTGTGTATATGTATTTGTACATGCAGATATTAGTACTAGGTCTACCATGCGAAACAATTTTATCGGATCAGTAATGGATTTTGTGTTTTTATTTTTATCTTTCCTTGCAGCCGGATGCTGGCCGGTTCGTTGCATTCGATCATATTTCTTTTTGGGTCGGCAATGCCCTCCAAGTAAGTATTTTGAATGTTTATGCACGAAGCGAAGGGGATATGACTGAGAAACGCAGACTGTCAGTACTATCAGCTAGATAAACGGCATTGTGATTGGATAACTGCAGTGGTGTGTCTGGGGGCTTGGCCGTGTTTGTAGATGATTGTGTGGCAGGCCTGGCTGGCAGCCATGCATACATACAGACTTACCATAAACCTGTTTTGAAGATGTAGTGCATAGTAAACTCTTGTGCTTGAAAAACAGAACAGAACAAAAATATTTAATAAATAAATAGATAGATGAATTAAAGGAAAAATAATTCAATAATGATATTAGAACAATGACGATAATAAAAATGAAATTAAAAAAAATATATTAGATCTAAACCACTTTTCTTTAATTTTTCCTTTGAAGTGAATTTTGTGTGGGCATTAGATTTAACTTGATAATTTAATATTTTCAGTAATCTTAAAGGGACATGGTAACATTGTAAAGATGAGAGAAAATGGTTCTAAGGTATTCAATGCTAGATGTACAATTAAAGATAATCTGAAAGTTTGAGTGAAAACGGACCATTATTAACGATACCAATTGAGAAGAACTGATCTGATCGATACCAAATTAATTCTCCCAACTATATTATTACAATTTAAATACATTTTAGGTGAATGTAAATCATCACAAAGCAATGAATAGGCTTTATATACCATTCTAGACATTTAAGTGTTGACAGATATTTAAAAGCCTGTCTTTTGTCTTATTTCCATGGAAAAATGGTTGGGAGAATTCAAAAATGGTTGGGAGAATTTACTGTTAATCACTGTTAGAGGGTGTTGCACAGTGACCCCTTCTTGGAAAACCATCAATATCTTTGTTGTTTGAGAATTTTTTCAGGATTTTTTGCATGCTAGAGGGTTAGTAAAGTAACAGGAAGACTATTAGCAACATTTCTTACAAAAATTACGCAATTTTTAAATCAACCTTCAACAATGTTACCGAGTCATTTTAAAGAATTTCTGTTGATTAAATTGAAGATTTTAGTTTTTGACAAATTGATAGACATCTACTGAATTCGTAATTAATCCAGATAACTGTCTTTGGTTATTTTTTCTAAAACCTTTTGTTCATGAAATTGGATTTTAACAAGTTTGACTTGTAATGTCTCCTTGTACATTCTTATGTAGGCTGCAACCTTTTACTGTGTGCGTATGGGTTTTGAACCCTTCGCCTACAGGGGCCTGCAAACAGGAAGTCGACAAGTCTGTACCCATGTTGTCCGCCAAGGGAAGGTAGGCATATATCTAGTTCTCTCCGTCTCTCTCTCTCTCTCTTTCTCCTGCTTTCTCCTGCACTCTCTATCTCTCTCTCTGTCTCTCATCCCCCCTCTATACACCTGTGCCCCATTGTAAATTGTAGGCCTCTCTATTCAGAAGGCATTTATGTATCTCTTTTTTTCTCTTTATCTCTGCCGTAAAATAAACAATAAAAATGTACAATCACACTTTCACAAACTCTCCAGAAATCACATAAGCCTACAGTACCAAGCACTAGCGCCATGAGCCTCATGCCTAATGGACCAGGACCAGAACCTTTTTTCAAGTCTTTTTTCAATGAAAAATGACTAAAATCAGTGACAAATCTGCTGATAACCAATTATAAGCAAGGATTTCAGTAGCTTATAACAAAAACTGTAATTTGTCACTGATGACAAGTTTTGTGAAACGCCCACAATTATTATTATTATTAGAGACAATGTGTTTTGTCAATTTGTTGATCAACCTGATTTGTTCTTCTTTTTTCTTGTGAATGCATCATTGGCGTCCAGCTCGTCTAGCAGATAGTATTTATATGTAGTCTTCAAAATACAAAACATAATTTATTTGGCGTTGTGCCAGCCAACAGTGGAAGTTACAAACTGATTTAGCCGAAGACGCAGGTTAGAAACTGAGTCACGTCTTTCGGATGGTGACGTTTATAGGTCAGTCCCCAGACGTAAATAATCATATCTGATTGATACACGTCTATAAAAACCCAATACACACACATTTGATCATGTGAGAAATGTATTTTCCAATGTTACTGGAACTGAAGGTTGCCTCTGACTAGAAACTAACTTCATCTAACTTCGTACATTTTTTTTTGTTTTCTTTTTTGCAGATCATGTTTGCTCTTCATTCGCCCTTGAATCCTTCGGGTGATGTCACTGAAGGTAATTTCTTACTTTACGCTATTTCAATGGTTTATATGTATCATTCTGTTCTGTGGGTTGGTGGTAGAGCTGGCACTAAAAGCTTGGTACCTGGGTACTGCCCGAGAGCTTCTCGTTACCGGGTCAAAAACTATGATACCCATTACCTCAAAGTGGGTGTGAATGAAAAATAAGCCCCTTAATTTGATGACCTTGTTTTAGCAATCAAATAAATCAACACATGTGAACCTCTGCTCAGATCGGTATGTTGTCCCATTTAAAATTATTATTTTCTTCCATGTTTGCCGATGTTTAGTGCTAATACCATGCCTGTGAATGTCAAAATCTGGTGTAAAAGTAGAAATAAAACATGTGAACGGCCATTTTGATTTGTGTCAGTTTGATTCCGTACCCGCCACAAATTTGAGGCGGGTACCCAAAGATATCATAGATATCGTAAATATTAGATACAGTGTAGATTTTCAACCCTGTATCATGCTGCACACTGATAAACATGCAATATGAACTTTGTGTAATTGAATCGAACGCTGTCACTAATAACATCCTTCTGATTGAGCAATCTGTAATATCGTGAAGCATGTTTTAACTGAATATATTTATAAAGCCCAATTTAACAATGAGACTATCAATCATACGAGATTATGTCTAATACATTCTCTACCATCGTGTTTTGATTGCAGAAATGGGAAAACACATGCAATTACATGGGGATGGAGCAAAGGATATTGCCTTTGAAGTGAAAGATCTGGCTGGTGTTGTGGAGGTAATTATTTCAACCATTAAATAATGGGTTAGAGAACAAATTATCACATAAATGTTTATACGCTTAAAGGTCTTGCATGAATTATGGTCACACCATCATACATGAGTGGTACATACCCGGGTACACACAGATGTGTTTATACTCTACATAAGAAGCCTAGACAATTGTCAAGGCTTGTAGATTGTTTGGTTTCGCTGCAGTGACAGAAGAAAACTATTACCATTTCAAGTCAGGAAGTCAGAAGTCAGAAATTGTTTTATGCTATAAATTTCAAAAGGAAGTATTAAGCATTTTATTAAGCAATAACATTTACATGCTGGTATGTTGACTTATTTTATCATTATTATTGCCTATGGAAATTTCAGAGGAGATTCGGGGAGACAAACTTGTTTCATTATGAAACATGGTTTGTTTGGAATAGTAGATCTCTACATCTATTAGTAGCTGATATATAGTCAGTTTTATCAATTTGAATATAAAAGAAGACAAATGTCCTTCAGGCTTTCACTCAATGATCTTATAGTTCCTGAATAGTGTGTAAATTCAAGTTGAAAATCAAGAAATATTGTGTGTTGAATGTGTACCGTATGTTAGATAGGTAGGTGTTGTGGTCCAGTGAATAGTTCCCAGACTGTCATCACATGGTTCTTGGTTTGATTCCTACAGTGGCACTGATGTCCTATGGCAAGAATAATCTATATTTGCCACTTTTTAGATGCTATCAGCTGGGCTAAACCCATGGCAATGAGCTTGCCCTGGGATGGTATATATGTGGCTTTATGTGCACAATAAAAAAAAAAATTGCCATTATTATTATTAATATTATTATTATTATTGTTATTATAGACTGCTGTTAAGAGAGGGGCCATTTTGCTGAAAGAGCCGTGGGAAGAATCCGATGATAACGGGACGGTCAAATTTGCTCAGATACAGACGGTGAGTGAATTATTTAATGAATTATTTAATGTTTGCCTTTGTCTTTCTTTTTTGCTGACTTATTCACTATCTCTTTCTCTCACTCTGCCTTTCCTGCCCCTCTCTCTCTCTCTTTTTCTCAATAGAACAACCAAGCATTATCCGTTACTTTCACGTAGTGCTCTGTTTGATATTGTTCTTTTTCATTCTATCTCACTCCTTATATCCTTTTCATTCTGTGACTATCTGTCCTGCCTCTGATTATTCCCACTCTCTATATTTCCATTTTATTTGTGTCTCATATTTTCATTTATACATGGCATTTAGTAATTTCTTTTCACTATCTATCCATCTTATTAAAATAAATCTTTATCCACATATCTATAAAAATATATTACGATACTTTTTTTCTTCTTCATTGCCATTGCCAGAATCTGCACTAGATACTACCTTCCTTCTGTTTGCATAGCATCGGCCCTATTAATATGATATATTTTGTTATCTGTTATAGACCGTGCCTTTTATTATGAGCGTGTAATAGTTGCTGTCCATTTGATGAGTGTTTCGAGCAAAGAATATGTTACAGAATTTACGGCATGTGCAAATTTTAGAGACATCAAATGAGAATAAAAAATAAAACAAATTTAATATTTTGTTGAAAGAAGCCAAGCAAATACCTATTTAATAATCTGAAGTACCGGAGTGTTGGCTCAGTCAGTAGAGCGTCCGCCACACAACCGGGAGGTCGTGGGTTCGAACCCCGGCCGCGTCATACCAAAAGACGTTAAAAGATGGGAGTTGTTGCTACCCTTGTTTGGCGTTCAACAATAAGGGATAGAGCAACGTCGATCTGGCGCTGCTCAGTGGCTGCCGGGCTCACGATCAATGGGGCAAAAAGAATTTCCGTTTCGGTTTAATAAAATTTGGAGTGGACTATTAGGCTATTATTATTATTATTATTATTATTATTATTATTGTTGTCATAATGCCTACACGTACATGTACAGCATATTTCCCATTTTACTTTTCAGTTCGTCCCATCCCTTTTTTTCTTGTTTTAACTTTACAGTACATTGTTTTGGGGGATATATGTGACCTCATGTTTTCCCGTTCTCATTTTTGTTTGATAGTACGGTGACACTGTTCATACATTTGTGGAGAGAGGTGGGTATACTGGACTCTTTTTACCAGGGTACAAGAAACCACTCTATTCGGATCCTCTCCTTGCCACACTGTGAGTACAAACACAATCTTCTTTCTTTATGGATGACCTCATGAGCTTACATGGTTCAGTCTCCTGTGTTATTACGAACTAGAAACGACACTTATCCATCAGGGACCCGTTTCACAAAGCGTTTTTTCAATGACAAATGACAAAAATCATTGACAAATCTGCTGACAACCAATCAGAAGCAAAGATTTCACTAGCTTATAATAATAACTGTCATTTGTCACTGATGACAAGTTTTGTGAAATGGGACCTTGATGTAGTATTTCTCAGTGTTAGCATCTATCCTTTTCTGCTCAGCGAGACTTTTCTTTTTTAATGATATGCATGGAAATAAAGGAATTGAATTAAAATTTAAATTCATAATAATTCAATGACTTATTTTTAGCGGAAGGATCTTTTAGATTGTATGCTATCTGTTGGCATGTTAAAAGAACAAAAATGGAGACGGGACAAGTTTTTTATATCGTGTTGGTTGTTTAAGTGTGCTATAAGTTCATAGCTTGTGCATACACTAAATGCATACTTTTCTGAATGTGCCCATTTTAATCGTGGCTATTAGTATCTAGAACGCTGTATGGTAGTATTGGTAAAGGGTGCTTAAGCTAGACAAGTCCTTTATTACATAATTATGGACACTATACATTTTAACAGGCATATGATCTATATATACATGTAGAACATTTGGCTGATGAAAGGGAAATAATTTCTGCCCTAGGTATTAAACCTGCTGGTAGGTTGACCGAAAGTATTTATGTGGCCTAATAATCTTGAGAAATATTCATAGGTTAAAAACCTCTCTTTTAAATATGCTGGTAGGTATATGTTGCATGGAACAAGTAGGCATTAGACATTTTCATAGACCTGCCTGCATGCAGACATTGCATAGATTACATGTGGACTTGCCACAGACCCGCATGTGCCATCGACAAACATGTAGACTTGTCACAGGCCTACACGTTTTTCATTCAAGCTTTACACATATCAGTTCTCATAAATGAAAATTTTCGTTTCTGTGACATTAAATTGTGGTCTTCTGTGGTGCTCCTAATTCTAAATCTGAATTCTTTTTTTTTTTTTGGATGCAAAATACTGCACAAAATGCATACCGGTATCTTTTGTCAATATTTTCATAATTTTGCACCCAGATACAAAGAAAATCTCATCACTACATGTTGGTAATTTTATGTCCCTCTTTCCAACGAGGGTATCATAATTTTGAAATCTTTACAGATTTGTTTGAGATATGGAACTGGGCGGATAAAGTTCATCAGAAATGCCAACCCGTACGATTAAATCATATTTAGTACGATTTTAAGAGTGAAATACGATATCACCTCTTAAAATACGATTTTTCATCTTTTTTTTATAAAAAATTAAAAAATTATTATTTTTATTATTTTTTTAAAACCCATAAAAACAGCAGAATCGCTTAAAAACATGTACAAGTAAACCCCTGCAACCCCAACAAAAACTTTGCTTTACAATTTTCTCATTAAATTTTAATGAAAGAGCAAACATTTTACTTGACCATACCTACCAGTAAAACATTTTTCTGAAATTTTACAGGCCCGAAGCCGATGGGCCAGTGGTATAGTGTCGAGTTTTCATGAAAATCTGATTTTTCTCTCCAAAATCAGATTTTTTAGGATACTCGGTCCGTTTTTTTTTTGTGACAAGAGGTTGGCATCTCTGGGTCATGCACGAACTATGGTCACACCACCATACATGTAGGATGTATGGTGCATGCATGCAGATGTTTACAGTCTACATAAGGAGCCTATTCAATTGTTAAGGCTTATAGATTGTTTGGTTCGCAGTGACAGAAGAAAACTATTACCGTTTTATATCTCTTCCAGGCCAAAGGTCAACCTGAACTTCATCGATCATATAGTTGGTAATCAGCCTGATAATGAGATGGTCAGCATAGCAGACTGGTAAGAATAATGTTCACATTAATTAAAGGGATCGGGTAACTTTGACTCAGAATCTGAAACAAAATCCTGAATTTAGCTCATGCTGCAATGATAATTATAAACCTTTAGGTCAGTCAGGAACCCCATGACTTTTACAAGCCGATCACCTGTCTGATTATCAAGATATTTATGATTGAAAATCGAAATTTCATTCCGGTTTTCCTAACAATTTTGATAACACTACAGTCTATTGGGGCAAATGAGTATGGTAAAACCGGTCACTCAAAGATTTTTACTTTTTTGAGGCACTTCATGATCATTTTGAAGCGCATTTTTGTTACGGCTTCAATATTATACCATAACACAGACACTGATAACATCTAGGGCTACATGTATATGCATCTCAGATTTAACATTGTTAAACGATGCCAATAAAGCTCATGTTGTGGTTTCGGAAGCAGAAAAAGAAATTGGAAAGAATCGATGATAAATATAGCCTCATGCATGTGGTTATCTTTGTTTAAAAAGATATATGTACGGGATCGTCTGGTATTCTATCCTTGATTTCCTGTGAATTATGGTGTAAATATGTGCAAGGAATGCTAGATAACAGCTGTACACTCCCCTACACTAGGACCCTTGCACCCTGATGCCTTGAGGAGAACATGTGTGTAGACTGTAGCATGTATACACAGTGCTCATAGGTTTTACATGTAGGTTGCCATTATCAGAATTTACTTTCAAGGATGGAATGTAGATTAGTTTTCTACCTTTCAATTGTTTTACACTCCACAGCAGCCTTGTATTGCCTTTAGAATGTACATAAATTACCAATGGCCAAAATGGCCAAATAGGAAGTATAAATATTACATGTTTAATGTTTTGCCAAGTTTTGTCCAATATTCTTAGTTTTCAAGTTACCCTGTATGTAGAGTTATAACTGTACATGTGTTTAATTCAAATTTTTCTTTTTCATACCTATTTATTTATTTATCTCGTTTTATTTCAACGGGGTAGCCCCATCAGTAGTTAACATACTTGGGGGCCCTGCATAACATAAAAATACATTTAAAGACATACATATACATGAAAACATCATTACATGTTGAATAGTGAACATGATATACCAATAAGAATACAGATTTTAAAAAATTAATGTAAATGTAATCTCAGCAAGTAAATAAAATCCCCAAAAATATTAAGTCATCTTGATATGATACAACTGAATTTTGTTCTTGCTATTAAAGGTACGAGAAGAATCTGATGTTCCATCGCTTCTGGTCAGTTGACGATTCCCAGATTCACACTGAGTATAGCGCCCTCAGGTCTATTGTGGTGACCAACTATGAAGAGACGATCAAGATGCCCATCAATGAGCCCGCTGATGGCAAGAGAAAAAGCCAGATCCAGGTACATGTTTTGAAGAAAGACAAGAGAGGAGGAGGGGGTGGGGAGGGGGAGAGGGACAGGAGATGGGGTGAGAGGGGCAGGAGATGGGGTGAGAGGGGCAGGAGATGGGGTGAGAGGGACAGGAGATGGGGTGAGAGGGGCAGGAGATGGGGTGAGAGGGACAGGAGATGGGGTGAGAGGGACAGGAGATGGGGTGAGAGGGACAGGAGATGGGGTGAGAGGGGCAGGAGATGGGGTGAGAGGGACAGGAGATGGGGTGAGAGGGGCAGGAGATGGGGTGAGAGGGACAGGAGATGGGGTGAGAGGGACAGGAGATGGGGTGAGAGGGACAGGAGATGGGGTGAGAGGGGCAGGAGATGGGGTGAGAGGGGCAGGAGATGGGGTGAGAGGGACAGGAGATGGGGTGAGAGGGGCAGGAGATGGGGTGAGAGGGACAGGAGATGGGGTGAGAGGGACAGGAGATGGGGTGAGAGGGGCAGGAGATGGGGTGAGAGGGGCAGGAGATGGGGTGAGAGGGACAGGAGATGGGGTGAGAGGGGCAGGAGATGGGGTGAGAGGGACAGGAGATGGGGTGAGAGGGACAGGAGATGGGGTGAGAGGGACAGGAGATGGGGTGAGAGGGGCAGGAGATGGGGTGAGAGGGACAGGAGATGGGGTGAGAGGGGCAGGAGATGGGGTGAGAGGGGCAGGAGATGGGGTGAGAGGGACAGGAGATGGGGTGAGAGGGACAGGAGATGGGGTGAGAGGGGCAGGAGATGGGGTGAGAGGGGCAGGAGATGGGGTGAGAGGGGCAGGGGCAGGGGAGGGGGAGGGGGGAGGGGGGAGGTGAACCCAGTACAGTGGTGTAACTTCATATTGCCTTTTTGTACACATGATAGTTACAGATTTCATGCTATAAAAGGGGTCATTTTGGGGGGAATTTCACGAACATTGAAATTATTAGAAAGAGAGGGTACTTTTGTTCAAAGAAAAACAAATTAAGCAGAAAAGAATCATGTATTTCAAAAAGTAAGCTGTGATTCATGAAAATCGAGTATATTAAAGGGGAAGCTTGCTCTGAAAGTAAGTTGGTTTTATTAGAAGCATAAAAATGGGAGGAATAGGTCAATGGATATTCTGAGCAATTATCAATTGAAAATAAGAAAGTTATGAATTCTTGAAGGTGTAATCAATCGAACGCAAATTGGTAACTCTGTGACATATATGTACCTGTACTTATATACATATATTTTCCCTTAAGAAAATTTTCAATCGTACATTACCCCTGAATATGATTATTGCAAATATGTTTTTATACAACCCCTGTATAAAACAAATATGTTCAATCATTAATGACTAAGAAAATAAAAGTTTATGAAATTTTCTGAACAGAGCAAAGTGGAGAGGAGCACACAAGATACATCACATTGTTGCCAATTTTTGTTTCAGTAATTACAACCTAAAAAATTCCTAACTCTCTTATTTTCAATGGGATATTTCTCAAACTTTCACTAAATTGTTTCTCTAATTTCTCAAGTTAATATCAGGGTGGACTTCCCTTTTATTAAACAAGCTTGAGCGAATGAAACGATAAACTGACTGGATTAATTGCTTGTTCCAGGAATACGTTGATTACTACGGTTCAGCCGGGGTACAGCACATTGCCCTCAACACGTCCGACATCATCGGGACCATCAAAGCTCTGAAGGCTCGAGGAATGAATTTCCTGAGCATCCCGGACACCTACTACACAAACCTGAAGGAAAGACTCAAGCTATCAAAAGTAACAGTCACTGAAGACCTTGATACGGTGAGTCCTATACAGTCAAACCTGCTTTAGTGACCACCTGTATAGAAAGACCACCTGTCCACAAAGGCCACCAGTCTACAATGATCACATTTTTTGTTTCGCTTGAAAATGGTTTCTCATTGAAACATATGGTGAGACTCATGCTTATATATTAAGGCTGTGCACAACCGTGTAATGAGGTACCCGAGTACACTCCCAGACTCGCAAGCGAATATTCGAATATTCGGACGCCATATTTTTTTGTTTTTGTTTTTGTTTAAATAAAAAATCCCGGTCACCTGGCACTGTCCAGGCCGACGCTTACCCGTGCCAGGGAGAGCGGCAGCCGCCAGCATGGTACCGTCGGTAAAAATGTTTCCAGCTCGATCACTCTCAACTCACCACTCAGAAACTGGGATCAAATGTCCGGATTTCTGTTTTGACTCGGAGGTAAAGTCATCTTGCCACCACCATACATAATACGGTAGAAATATCCCAAGTCCGTCTCCGAAAATTCACGCTATTTTACTTCGAGTTGCAGTTGAAGGCGTCGATTTAATAATAATAATAATAGTAAACAATGCTGTTTTAAAAACCAAAGATGACTTTACCTCCGAGTCAAAACAGAAATCCGGACATTTGGTCCCAGTTTCTGAGTGGTGAGTTGAGAGTGATTGGGCTGGAAACATTTTTACCGACGGTACCATGCTGGCGGCTGCCGCTCTCCCTGGCACGGGTAAGCGTCGGCCTGGACAGTGCCACGTGACCGGGAATTTTTTTTGCGGCCGAATATTCGAGTACGAGAAATTGTACTCGAGTAGTTGTCAACCGTGCGGGTACTCGAGCATTCGACTACACCTCGCACCCCTATTATATGTTTCCCTTGAAAATGGTTTCTCATTGAAACATTTACTAAAGGAACCTGTGCATTACCTGCATTAACCACCTGCCTATAAATACCACTTTTCTTGTCTCCTTTGGATGGTCTTTATAGAGAGGTTTCACTGAACTTCCGACATGTCAAGGGATGTATGTGAGGTAGCTTGGCGAAATTTAGTGGCACAAAAAGGACGCATCCAGAATGATGATTTATCACTTAGAGTTGGAACCACATCGTTAGGATATGGAGCACGTGAATACCAGGGACGGATCCAGGGGGGCACAGGGGGCATCAGCCCCCCCCCCCCCCACCTCACTGAGCGAATTTGCGGCCGGCGGGATTTTCAAATTTTCGGGAGCAAAGCTTCTGTAAGAAGAAGAATTATCTAAATTGTTGGATGATTCAGATGCGGCTAGCATGAAAATTTCAATTAAAGTATGGTTTCTCAAAGTTAGAAAAGTTTGCACAGATCAAGAACGTCAATTTAGGAGACATTTTTACGCCAGAATTGGACAAACCGTTATCGTTCTAAACTAAGTTCTAATTCTATGCTTCTGTACATAGACTGACGGTGAGTTGTAAACCTAGATTTAGTACCTTTGCTGTGGCATAAAATGCCACTTTTTGGATCACTGTAGGCCTAGACTACTTTAGATATTTGTAACAAATTTCAATTTCTCGAGAGCACACGTATGTTTAAGGCTGTGTTGGTGAAACTGAAGCGAGAGGGGCCGGGAAGCACCACACATAAAGCCTCAATTTCTGTACTTGATATGGACAAGATGCAAACCTCTTCTAATTTAGATTGCCCCTCCCCAAAACTCAAAAAAGAGCTTGCAAAATAAGTTTTTATTAATTTAATGACTTTCTTTTGTTAAGGTTTCATGTTAAGGTCAGTTAGGCCTGACTTTATTTTGTTAAGGTTTAGGCCTAAGTCATTCTACATTTTTTTTAATCCATTGCACTAACAACAGACAAATTATGCAAATTTAAAAATCATGCTTTCCGGTTACCGGAAAGCATATCTATGGCAAAATCATGCGTCCGGTAATTACCGGAAAGCATGATTTTGCCATGCATCCGGTAAATCTGTAAAATAACAAAATTTTGTATTTTTGACAATTTTTGGGGCCCCTCTTATAAAACAGATGATACACCGGTTTAATTCGTGGGTCGGTGGAATTGTGTGCACGCGGTACCTTTGAATTTGGTCTAAAACCATTCAAAGGTACCTTGTGCACACAATCCCTACCGACGCACTCAAACCTGTGCATCATTTGTATACTAGTACACCTTTTCCATTCTGGACACATCTTTTCATGCCTCTAAATAAGTTGTGTTCATTACCATCACAAGGTGAAATTGTAAGGAATGAAAACTTTTTGTCTTGATGTCTCTCTTACCTGTACACTGTGTAGCTTGCTTTACACAGACATTAATTAATTACTTTTTATGACAGTTAACATTCTTTCTTCAATATTAAAGGTAATACAAAGTTTGGGAAATTTTGAAAATGGCCGGATTGAGATTCTTAAAAAATGTTGAAATATGTGGATGCCCCTGAGGATGTATTATAAGCACTAGAAAAATTAGCTCCTAAAACACTTCTGCTTTCGAGAAAAATTCAATATATAAATTTACCGGTGCTCCCGGTAAATTTTGATAAATTTCAAATAGCTCATATGGCCATCTAATGGTAGCTGCGACAATGAAAATCTCAGAATATGCAGTTGTGATATATAATTTTCAAACAGGAATAGCTAATCGGTCGAGTTTAGTCAAGAAACGTTGTGTTAAAGCTAGAGTAATATTAGTCTTGAGAGGGAGCTATACCACATAAAGAGTTTATTATTTTCAATTTCATCACTTTAGACTCGATTTCAACCGTGACAACGATCATTGAATGCTGTAAAATCGCAAAATGTTCATTTGACCAAATTAATGACCTCATACCAAAACTTTGTATTAACTTTAATGTCTTGTCCTTGGGCTTGATTTGTTATGACAGTTAACATACTTTCTTCAATTTCAAAGGAAACATAGTTTTAGAAATACATCCAGGGTTTCAATTCTAGTTTATGAGATTATTCATCATTTTGCAGATAAGAAGCAAAACAGATTTCATTCCGAAAGTTTCGTTTGTGTTCATCAATCAAATGAACAGATTCGGATTTGTCTTCACATCAGTGAAGCTGTTTAAGAAACATCACCTGATTGATATTTGATCAACAAAGAGCTTTGGTCCTTTGAAGTACAAAATATATGCAGGATTAGGCTAGCACATCTGCTTATTCATCAAAAAACAAAGATCCACACTATTGATTTTATATCTCTTTGTGTTTGAATTGAATTACATAACTTCAGAATGTTACCTCCTCAGCTCCATGTAAACAATTCCAAAGTTGCATTTAAGAGTTGATTTAATTTAATGCATTTAGAGGAATATGGTCCATGTATGGTTGGGATCTGGACTGGAATCCAATTCAATACTTGAAAGAAAAATATGAGTATTTTACTCAATTTTTGGCTTAAGTAATATACTCAGCCAACCTTGGTATTCATTTAAAGTTTTTGGCTAAGCATGTAACACCATGGGGGTGTTTCACAAAGATCCTAAGTTGAACTTAAAAATTATGGAAAGCCATTAGCATCATTGAAAATATTTGTAAAAGTTATTTCAAAAGGCATAAAATGTTGATTCAAATCATTAATATTTTCTATTATCATGGGAGATTTCATGTTCTTGATGTGGAATTTATGAAAAGTCTAAAATACTTACATTTTTGCTCTTGAATATATTTCATTATGAGGCTACAAATGGCTCTCCATAATATTTAAGTCCAACTTAGAGTTAAGTTCAACTTAGAATCTTTGTGAAACACCCCCCAGCTTTGAAGACTTAAGCCAATTGTATTCATTAGCTGTGGATGATTATATCAGAGCACATGTAATGTAATGCATTCATTGCTAAAACTTTTTGATTGGTTAAGTGGCATCACAATGGCCTTCTGTAAGTATATTGCCTTAAAGTTGGCTGCCTAAAGTAAAATATTCAGATGTGGTCTGAAGAAGACTTGAGTCATTTCACTGAGCGAAGCTAAATGTGAAGTAAAGCACTGACATAATTCAAGTATTGAATTAAATACAAGTCCTGGGTCCGTTTCATAAAACTTGTTATCAATAATAAATGCTAAATGTCTATGACAAGTTTGCTCTCAGTCAATCAGATGCCATGATTTCAACAGTTTTTACAGGTTTTATGAAACAGGGCCGTGGTTTGTTTTTTAACCTGACATGTTTATATCATTATTATAATTTATTGATGTTTTATTTTCCTTCACCTTGCAGATTCAGAAGCTCCAGATCTTGATTGATTATGATGATAATGGCTACCTGCTTCAGATCTTCACCAAACCAATCCAAGATCGGCCGACAGTCTTCCTGGAGTGCATTCAACGAAAGAACCATCAGGTTAGTCCTTGATTCTTTAATATTCTCCTCTACTCTCCTAGATCTTGGAGTAGACCCAATCTACCTTTTTTTGAGAATTGATGTTTCTCCCAGATCAGTTCTTTAATTTACATGTCACATGTATGGGTCTGTCCAGAAAGTTGGGGCACCTTTTGTGACATACCAGAAGTGAGAAAGTATGTCTCCTATCAACTGTAACAATGTTTGCTCAAATTGAATTTTGAATGTAAAGCTGGTAAAAAGAGAAATGTGTATTAAACAAAGATTTTGAAGAAAAGCAACTGAAACAGGAACGATTCTGGCACAGCACTACTATATATATTCATTGCATAAAAATCTTCAACAGATATTTTCATCTTCCATGTGTAGTAGAAGATCTCATACCTATGTAACATGGACACCGTCATATTTTTTGCCCCAACTTTATGGAATGACCCGTTACATGTTAGCTCTCTATGTATTGAATTCATTTTGCATACAAACGATATTTCTATGTTGAGCAAGCTTCTGGCAAGCGATTGGTCATCAAGACAACTTTTATTTAGAACTATGCTTGGATTTTGTTTCATAGTTTGCATAGGACAAGAGATGCCAAGTGATTTATAGGCAGACCTAACCTTTGTAATTAGTGGAATTGTATGAAAGCAGATCCATTTAAAAAGGAAAGGATTATTCATAAGTCTGAAAGAAATTTCTTCGAATATTAAAGAGGTCATGTTTGAAAGCTGAGATCAATAGCTCGTAATCAATCGGTTATTTGCAAAAACTTGGGACAGCTATCCCATTTCTTCTATTCTGATTCGGATACATGACTTTTCTTAGGAATAGTGGGATGGAAAAGAATGATATCATTGCAGGCATATGAAGCAATATATACTTTAAAAGAAGCAAAGTTAATTCATTTTTGCCTTAAAGAATCCTTGGGCGGTATTCCGCGTACTAAGTTAGTCCACACTTTTATGGAGTGCCTGTTGCCAACTCATTTACCCTGTTTAGATTATTTTAATCCTTCAATGAAAAGTGTCCAAAAAATTAATTTTGCAATGAAATGGGAAGAAAAAGATAATAATGAGTATGAACTGAATTTCAACAAAGTCTTTGGTAGATTATCTTTGTCATGAATATCGAAGGAGGAAGATAAAACCTAGCATTCCATAGAAGTGTGAACTAAAATTCTTGTTTAGTCTGGACTTGGTCCTGGCTTAACGTATGAGAATACCACCCAATGTCTTTAATGAGCATCTTTCATGGATGTATCTCCTACATTACTGTTTAAACTGACTCTTTTTCTTTCCTGTTCATGTGTTGTGTAGGGATTTGGTGCAGGTAATTTCAAGTCCTTGTTCGAGGCCATCGAGATGGACCAAGCCGACAGAGGAAACTTGATCAAGTAATTTCGCTGCTATGTCAGATCTATGGGAAACCAATGAATGAGTCTTCTGCACCAGTGAGTGAAGCAGGTTCCTACTATGGAGTAGATTATATTTGCTGCAATTATGTGTGATATATCGATATTCATTTATCTCAAGTAACATGTACAATCAAGTCCAATGAACAATCAAGTCCTATTTCAATCAATTATAATTTCAATCAATTATTGGGCTCTAATATTTTACCTTTTTTTCTGTATTTTTTTTTTTTTAAATACCCCTTTGCTGTCTTCATGGTTATTCACCAAATGATATTTTCCAAAGAAGTAATTGAAAAATTGAAAGTTGATTCACATATTCAGCTTCAGCAGATAATTTCTGTTAGTGAAAAGATTGTGTGTTTTGACACTTTTAGACAGAGTTGATGAATGTTTATTTTGCATTCACACTGCCTCTTCTGACGTTTTATTTGTTTATGTTTCATTGACTTATTGGAAATAGATCGAAAAACACGCCGAATTAGTGGCGTTTGACGGTGAATCAGAATAAACATTATCCTCATTATTAGAAAGATTGATATGTATTCATGGACATGGGTCATTCTCACCGGTATATGATATATGTGGTGAGAAGGGGACTTCCAAGGATACACACAAGGGTAATAATTATCAATGCATGCTCCCAGTCCGTCAATACTCCCAGCCCCTAGGATACTGGAAGTCTGCACCAAACATAAACTAATTTGAGGCAAGAAATCTTAACGAATGACATTTAGTTTGTGGTGAAAATTTCCATGTGTGTGCTAAACATATTCAGTGTATTTGTTGTGCCTTTTATATGGCCTATTTTGGATAGTTGATTATCTACTCTATTAAAGGGGCCAGCGTTGCATTTCGGCCATTGAAAATATCCATTCTTAAAGTGATTGCCAAAGTTATTCAAATCTAACTTTCCACGTACCAGTAAGCATGCTTGTCATATACTTTCAATACAGTTATTTGCAATTGATATGAATTAATATGAAACACCTATCCCACCCTGTCCTCTATGTAGCTTTGCTGTGAATTTGATTTCAGTTATTTTTCTTTCATTTCTTTAGATATTTTATTTATTATTATTTTTGTAGAGGCTGATTTTTATTGTCTTCTTTATCTTTTGTTGCAAATCTTTTATTCAACCAATGTCTGAAGATCGTTGAAAAATCTGTTGATCGCACAAGAATTATGATGTATATTTTGTTGGAAGAACATATTATTGGATAAGGTCATTATATGTAATCATATCATATATCATGAGTGAATACCAATTATTATTTTGGGTGATGATATGTAGATTTTTGAATTTCAATAAGGCATTTGTTCAACATTTAAGTGTTCATGAGATTGAATGTTCTGAGAAGTTTCCAAGGACCGCTTGTTACATAACATTTTGTGTCTTTGATAATTATGGATGTTATGATAACCATAGTGTAGAAAGTCACATAGATTGACATTGGGGAAGTTTAAAGAGAGAACATAAAGGAATGAATAAAACTTCCCACTCAATTTTGAACAAATACTTGTGAACATCCATCTAATGTTGTAGCTTGCATCAAAGATTATCCATCATTTCAAGATTTATTGTTCAATCATTATTGCATCATGAGTAAATCATGCTGAATTTGTAAAAGGAAGAGCATTTGAGTAGCAATATGAAATACATTGTTTGCCTTTGTCTGAAATTTACATTTATTATTGATAATATTTTATTGAATTGTGTGCAAATTTGTCTTCATTCTGTGTCAACCATTCACATGTAATGTGTTTCATTTATCAGCTGTAAGCAATATGATGATACAAGTGCTGTTATATTATAAATAATGCACACCCCATGAGAGGGATTTTATGAAATATATAAAAGCCTGAAAATATGGGATTGTTTTAATGATAAAGTGTACAGTATATTTTTGACCCGCGTTGAAATAGCCATTACCAGGAGGACTTGCTATAGATATAGTGCTAGTTTCATGTTATGATGGGAGTTTGGCTTTCTTCAGTTCAGCTTTATTGAGTTTGCCTTCATCTACATTGGATGGCAAATAAAGACCCTTCATTCATATCAGTATTCAATAAATGTTGATTGGTACATGTATATGTCAAATTGGCAAAGTAATGGATTCTTCAAGTAATAACATATTTGCTTGCAACTACGGTCATTAAAGAGTAAACTACAACCACGGTATTTCACGAGTTTTTATTCATTACGTTTTGGACTAAGGTCTTTGGAAGTTTCATTTAACCAAATTTTGTATAATACAGTCAAACCTGTCTATAGTGACCACCCAAGGGAAACACAAAAAGTGGCCTTTGTAGACAGGTTCCTTTAGTACATGTTTCAATGAGAAACCATTTTCAAGGGAACCACCAAATGTGGCCTTTGTAGACAGGTGGTCACTAAAGCAGGTTTGACTTTATACACATTCCTTCCTCTCTCTCTCTCTCTCTCTCTCTCTCTCTCTCTCTCTCTCACACACACACACTCCCTCTCCCTCTTTCTTTCTCTTACTCTTCCCCCATCTCTCTCTCTCTCTCTCTCTCTCTCTCCCTCTCTGTCACTCTGTGAATATATACAGCGTCAATCTTTCTTATTCTCACAAATAGAATCATTGCAGTCAGATCACCCACTGCTAAAAATGAAGGACGGAAGACCGTTTTTTCCGTAATATAATGTGTTTTATTCATTATTCACGTTTCCTAAGATACAATACATACATATAATAGCAATGCTCTTGGTAATTATATCTATTATCTTACAAGGTCACGTTTTTAATAATAGATTGGAAGTATTTTGTAGGAGTTTTGATCACAAACGAGACAAACATCTTATTGTGATATCAGCATTCAGGGCTCTGATACGCATGATTTAAACTAGAATTCTGGCGAATTTTAAATTTGGAGGAACAAGCCCTTATTATGAACATTTTTCAGGGAAAGGCGTCCCAGTCTCCCTTGTATCGCATACCATTCACTTCGTGTCAAAGGCTCTAATATTAGAAAAATTGCACCTCACTGCTCACACTGGGACATCTGCAAAGTGCCGTGTAATATTGTAAAGTTCGCAGATCTTTTCGAAAAGTCAAGTGCTGGTTCCCACTTAATGCGATGGAGCGTAAGGACGGAGCAAAAATATTTCCAGGTTTTTAAACATAATAAGGTTTTTTTTAATTTTCAATACACGGAATTTTCGGAATCAAAGCACTTCAGAGCCTCAACATGTTGTAGCCTTTACTCAATATTTTGCTGAACCCCCCCCCAAAAAAAAAAAAACACTTTCACAATGTAATAAATATTGATCGATGTTTCCACAAAATGGTATATGTTGGTTCCTGGAAAAGTCAAATTTGAGAAAGTTCGATTGAAAAAAAATGTTCGTTTTATTCAAACAGGGGAACTCTTACAGTATTCAAACTGTTTTCCTGCGAGACCCTGTTCAAATTACAGGTTAAAAGATACAAATGGAATTAATCAAAGTTGAAATACATAATTACATACCATATCATGAATAGCGCAAACTAAATTTTTATACATGTTTTTGTGTTTGAAGAACTAAGTCAACTCCATCTTGAAAATATTATGTTATGGGTTCAATGCTCAGAATAAAACGATAAACAAGTCTTTATAATATCTTATTATGGTTGTCAGAATATGCATAGTATTGCACAGAGCACAACACTAACGCTTTATGTTTGGTTATTGAATTTGGGGCCGTATTTTTTACTCGCCACATTTCTTACGAGTTGTTATCCAAGGTTTTTTTAATTGCGATAAAATCAGGTTTACAGAGCTGATTTAGGAATATGCTATCATCAATATAATCCTGCTTCACATAACTTTTTTTTCTTTTCATTTCGTATTGGAAGACAAACAAACAACAACAAATATTTTATTTATATCATACTGCAATTTGATTTATCCTGATATGATAAACAGCTGGAGTACTTACCTAAGAACGTTCGTCTTTTATACTGCCATATTATTATAATCACGTGTACCATGATGAAGGAAAAAAAGAAAATGGCATCGGAAATGTCTTATGATCAACAAAAATAAACTTGATAAAAACGAAGGTATCTTTTCTGATCACTGATTATACAATGGGGGAACACACCATAGAGGGCGAGTTGTTCTAGGACCTTTTTTTTCTTAAAGAAATTGTCAAAAATTGTTACATGCACTGTCTTTGTGTATTGTATTGTCTTCCATGAAGGCGGCAACTTGTTACAAGTGTCCTGTGAAAATGGGGGGGGGGGGATGGGAGGGGGTTGCTTCTGAGGCAGCTGCACGGACTTTGTGCTCCAAATTACCCAATAAATAACACTTAACACACTTATGAGAGAATGAACTGTCATTACAACCGAGACAAAGAACTATATATGATCTAAAAAGGCATAATAAGGGACAGGATAGGAGAACTGATAACAGAAATATTATAGCAGGTGAATGAGGGGTATATGTTGTTGAATACGAATTTATTCTAAGTTTACATTGAATTTCAGTTGAATTAAATTACACTGGGGGGGGGGGGGAGAAGATAGGCTATAGGTGATGTAAATGGGTACCTGGCAGGAATTAATTCCTTGAAATTCTAGAGCACCATAATGGCAGCCATGCGAAAGCCAGGGTAATAATAATTGAGGAGTGCCAGTAGTGTCAAGTCTGACAGACATGAGCGCTATACAAGAACCACTAATTTATTATCATTATTATTATGACTGCTCACTAACCATTATCTAAGCAAACTTTTTACAAACGTTGAGGCGAAAGGATTATACAAGCGTTAACCAAAAAGAAACTGTCTTCTATGTTATCAAATGATCCCTCAACATGATTGAAATAAACCAAGATTTTTAAGAGGAATGGAGGTATAATTTATAAAGAAGTAATTATTTTCTATTTATTTGAATTTTTGAAAAATCACGGAAAACTTTTTTTTTCTTTTTCAGGTGCGTTAGCAATTAATTTTGGCAAAGCATAAAAATATACAAATTACGTGTAACATTTTTATTTTATTAAAGCATATCTGTCTTTCGGTGATTCATGTCTTCAATAATTTCTGGTATCAATATTAAAAGATAAAAAAAACCTTTTCATCGATTATTTGTGTAGTTCATAGGCTATAGTTTAAACGTTATAAAAATTTCCCTTTCTTCAGAAAAGCTTAATCGCACAGCGGTGGTCCTGATCCAAAGAGAGGTCTTCTTTATCGTGGAACATAGACCCCACTTGGAACCTGCCGATATAAAAATGTGCCCATCTCTCGCCTCATTAAAGCGAAAATACAAACATCATTTAATGAAGGAATTTCTATATTATGTTTAATTAGCCTGTATTCACTTGTTTATTCACTACCCACTGTTTTTTCTCTTTACTTTGTATAATTATCTGCGGCCGTTGGGGCCCAACCTTTGAAACTGTTGGCTCCTCCATATTCTTTGTATTGTTATATATTTGCTTCTATGTATAATGTATTGTTGAATGTATTTTTTACGAGAATTGGAAATGAATGGGAAAAAATTGAATTGAACCTGGAATTTGGGGTTTGAATCAATCATTTGGGATACCCCCTGTCAGAAATAAATAGTGATGATGGGGAAACATGTACCACGACCTCCCCCCATTTACGGGAATTTGGGGGGAATACGTCTTACACTGGCAATTCTGACTACGCCTCTTCTGAAGGAGTGTGAGTGGATGATGATTCCTTTATAGCACTTTTCTAAAGAAAACAGATATAGGACTGAATTATGCCGGGAAGATGAAATCACTACTTGGGCATACAGCTCAAAAGCAAAATAATTGTAACATTGAATTATAAAGAAAGTTGAAATGGGCCTGCTTTTCGATAATTTGCTTTCTTCTTATTTTAACACATTTAAGAAGTTTCGCATTCCTTAAAACAAAATAAAATAACCGGGTATAACCATACATAATCAAAGCTGTAACAAACAGGAAGAAGGGATGAACAGGGACACTGTGGTTAAGATCTAGGGTGGATGTAGAGAGAGTCTTGACGCCTCGAGTTCCCCTGTTCGTCACCATCCGTCGATTGCAGACTCAAGCGAGAGCTGGGGGAGAGATTAGCCGATACAGATGGCGAAGTGGCTAGCATAGTTCCGTTGAGATGCTACCTGCGGATCAAGAAGAAAATACAAACAGGACATGTTTGAAAGATGTATTTTATTCTGGTAACGCTCTGCCTTATCACATTCATATGTTTATCTGACCATGATACGACACATGCCGGAGATCCTTGAATATACATGCATTTTCATTCGAAAAAGATACTTTCAAACTCATAAGCTAATTACACAAACGTAGTATGTAATCAAACGCTGACAAATTAAAATATAAATCTCAATTAATTCAAGGCCCCAAAAGGGTACTATATGATTTGTTTCTTAATGTTCATTGATCTACTCTATTCATTAATATACATAAGCACATTTAGTATCGTTATTTTAGTATGATCTAATTATGTTGTAATAATATTAGACTTCAATTTATTGTTAAATAAAGGTTCCTCTTTTTATCCAAGCTTTCTCTGATAAATAAGGACACGCGTATAGGCCTACTGAATAAAAAGGATACTTTAATTCTCCCAACACTGCCTAAATTAATGCCTTTCTACAGACGCTTCCACTTCTATCGTCGTTATCATGAAATATTTTAACACCATTTAATGATGGGATGCCAACTGCACTCATTGCACTTCTTCAATTCAGTTGGCATAAACTAAATTCACGACTCTTTTTGCGCAGATTGAATTCACGTGCACGCTTCAATAAAGGGCTTGCATTATCCATGAACAATAAATGGAAATGTTGATTTGCATCAACCAATGTGTATACATGCACTATACTTATTACTGATGTAAATAAATATTGACTAAGCGTTGAATATGTACCATGAAGCACGCGATATTAGATTTCAGTATCTGTGATGGAATATTGCGTATCAAATAATATTTATAAAATGGTATGTTATCGTCAAATTAAAGTAGTGTTGTTTATAGGTTAACAAAAACTGATAGTGCACTTGACATGATAATGATGGGAAATATATGTTTTTATTCATTGGCGAGGATTACACTAATTTTAGATAAGTAGTAATTCATTATATAGACTTTGAAAAGTAATTTTTCTGGTTAAGAAAACTCGGTAGAAGAAAAAAAAATTGCAA